GGTCTGACCTTCAATTCCAGACGCGAGGGCTGCAGGGAGCGGCCGCCGAGGTTAAGTGAGGGGCCGAGGCGCTAGCACCCGCTGCCAGGACTTCCAACGCTCACAATTCCCGGCCAACAACCGGAATCAGGGGAGGGCTTTAAGAAATTCAGTTGTAGGGCGCCCAGGGGGGTACCGCCCATCAAGCGTCCAACTCTTGGTCTCGGCTCAGGTCGTGATCTTGTGGTTCCTGAGTTCGAGCCCCATGCCAGGCTCTGAACCGACAGCCTGGAGCCTGCTTGGGATTCTCTCTCTGCCTCTCTCTCTGCCCCTCCCCTGCTCACGCGCTCGCTCTCTCAAAATAGGTGAATTTTTTCAAAAAATGTTAAAAAAAAAGAAATTCAGTTGCAACTCATTTGGGCATTAACTCATCATTTTCTGTAAATGTATCCTTTTAAATTGTTTTGTTTTGTTTTGTTTTGTTTTGTTTTCCCGGAATATATTTGGTAAGGGAGCCCTCTGGTCGCTGGACGCCAGGAAATGAACGGTTTGCGTACTTTCATAGCCGGCTCCCCGCCACAGTATCTTGTCCCTCACGTTTGGCCACCTGCTCCTGTCACACTTTCACACGTTTCGCCACGATTCCAGCGGTGCCAAAATTGTGCTCACTGTCATCGCTCTCTTGTCTCAGGCGAGCGAAGGAGATTGTGCTGAAGTTCGAAGGGAGGCTGACCAGGACCCGAGGATACCAAGCGGCAGGTGCAGAGGTGAGAGCGTGTACACATGGCGATCCCACCCCTCCCTGTGGCCTCGGGGCCAGGAAGGTGCGTGACATTGTGCTTGCCATTATGCATCGGCTGTGCGCATCGGTCGTTATAGCCGTAGAGCGATGCTGGTCCCTGGAGGGTCTGCATGTCCCAGAACTTGGACTTTAGTCCCTGGGGCCATCACTCACCATTTGTACATGACCCTGGGTAAACCTGACTCATCCCAGAAAGGCTATCTTCCCTCGAGAGAATGATCTAGCATTTTTCCTAGCATTTTTCCTGACTTACTCCCTCCCGTACGTGTAAGTTTTATTTACAGCGTGTCTTGTAATGGGAACGTTATAGATCTATCCCAGCGCTTATTTGAGAACTCAGTGCTATGTTTTTTGTTTGTTATTTTTCCCATTCAGCCCCTTAAAGCTAAACTTTAGTATCTAATTGCAATGATCTGTTTAGAGAGACATTGCGATCATTCCCATAAATGTTCAGAAGCCAAAGAAAAAAATCATCCTCGTATATAGTATCTTTTTCTGGAGCTCACATTGCAGTCACTGAGTCTATAATTTTCACACAGAGTAATCACAGCGTACAAACGTTTTTTCACTTAAGCCCATAACACAAGGATTTTTCCGTGTTGCTCTGAACGTTTTACACATGTTGTCTCCCGTGACAGACAAGTACATTAGCTCAATTGGTTATTTGTCTGCTGGTAAATTAACTTAATTTGTTATTTGTCTGCTGGTGTATATTTAAATTGCCTTTAATTTTTCATTATTATTAATAACCCTGCAAAGACTATCTTTGCAGTGCTTTTTCTACCCTTTAAAATCCCTTTCCTGGGATAAATGCCAGAACTATAATCATTGTAGAAAAGTAGAATTTGTTTTTTGGCTCTTGACAAGTATTTTTTTTCCTAAAGTTTATTTATTTACTTTGAGAGAGAGAAAAAGAGCGTGTGAGCAGGGAAGGGGCAGAGAGAGAGAGGGAGAGAGTCCCAAGCAGGCCCCGCACTGTCAGCACAGAGCCCCGTGCAGGGCTTGAACTCACAAACCGTGTGATCATGACCTGAGCTGAAATCAAGAGTTGGACACTTAACCCACTGAGCCATCCAGGTGCTCTGGCTCTTGATAAATATTAATAAATTATTTTCCAAAACCCTTGAGAGTTCACCTTGCCATGCATAAGTTTTACTGCCTTCATATTTTGCCAATATTGGATATTGTATTTTTTTAAGTTGGTTATATTTTAACAGATAAGAGCTGACAAATGCACTCTTTTCAGATTCTCTGAAACAAACCAACAAAATCCTTAATGAAGTTTAAATAAAAGCTGGTCACGGAGCACCTGGGTAGCTCCGTCGGTTGGGCGTCCAACTTCGGCTCGGGTTACGACCTCACAGTTGGTGGGTTCGAGCCCCGCGTCGGGCTCTGTGCCGACAGCTCGGAGCCTGGAACCCGCTTCGGATTCTGTGTCTCCCTCCCTCTCTGCCCCTCCCCCACTTGTGCTCTGTCTCTCCCTGTCTCAAAAATAAATAAATGTAAAAAAAATTTTTTCCTTAAAGCTGGTCCTAAATTTTACTTAACTGAAAAATTAGATAAAGTCGCAAAGGGTCCTCAAGGCTCTGCCTCGGCTTTCTTCTTCCTTTGCACAGACTGTGCCTGAAAACTCTAATCTATTCCTGGGACGAAAATTACCCCTGAGTGCTTATGCCTGTCAGGCGATGATGGGGCTCATGCAATAAATACATTTAACAAAATTATCTTTTTAATGCTAAGCATATGTGCCGCCCGGCTCCCTCATTTTCCCTAAACAGATGGCCTGCGATGCAGTGGGAAGTCTCTTGGAAAATACTAGAAGGTCCTATTCAGACAACCTGTAATATATATGAGTGAAAAGCACGGCAACTTTTAGTCACAGTGACATCAGTAAGGGTTAAAGGTGCAATTCGACCAGGGGCTGACTTACTAGACGCAGGGTTTCCAGAATGAGAAGGAGAACCAGAATTCACAGCCTCACCTAGAGACGGGCTGCCCAAAGGTGCTCGGTGGCACCTTTGTAGGAGCAACGGCCCTGCAGAAAGGGGTTCAATCCAGTTCAGTTTAATCCACGTGCCACGCTTTGTCCCAGGCCCTGGGGTCATGTCCCGACTGGGTCACTTCCGCCTTCTGGGGGGTGCAGTAAAGTGTCAAAGACAGGTCCCCCTCTCGCGTGTCTTCTTCACGCTTTGGTTCCTCCCCTCCCTGTTCGGAACAACATTCCTCCACCTTTTTATGTGTATTTCTTTTTTTTATTTTGAGAGAGAGAGAGAGTGGGAGTGGGGGAGGGGCAGAGAGGGAGAAAGAATCCCAAAGTAGCCTCTGCACTGTCAGCACAGAGCTCAAGGTGGGGCTCGAACTCACAACCGTGAGATCATGACCTGAGCCGAAATCAAGAGTCGGCCGCTTAACCGACGGAGCCGCGCAGAAGCCCCTATAATTTTTTACACTGGAAATTTTGACATGAACCACGGAGGACCAGCACCCACTCCAGCTGCCGCGGAGAGAAAACAGAAGCCATCCAGCCCGCAGCCCATCTGTTTATAGTCCTTGGTTTGTCCGACGAAGATGCGACTGTTTTCCAAATAGTACGTTTTGTGTCACGGGCTAACCCATTCTCCTGTGACTCCCGGCACTGAGATCCGGTCACCACTCCCAGGGGCTCCACCCTGTCCTGTCCTGGGAGTCCCGGCTGCAGAGCACAAGGCGTCCTGGGGGGCCCTCCCCGGTGTCCGGCCTGTGTCCTCGCCCCCCTGGGTCTCCACCTGAGCCTGCTTACAGGCAGTCCTCCTTCAGTGCCAGCAGGTGTCCCTGTTTCTTACGGAAGCAAGGTCTGAGTGGGTGGGGCCTCCGGGACCCGAGAAGTCACTGCGGCAGGAGGGAGGACACCCAAGTCTCTCTGCCATCGTTTCTCTGCTCTGACTTTGGTTTTCACGTGTGATTCTCAAGATTCCTTCTGGTTCTAATATTGTACGTCCTTTGTTTTTCACACAATACCCACCAGGGAGGTCACCCTTCCCTAGAGCCTGCATGGCATGATTTGGCACCTGCCTATGATGGTATATAGGCTGATTGGCCTCCTGGAAGGCCCTACTGCTTTCGCACACGTCCCCCTATAACCCACTCTCCTCCGTGCAGGAGCCCGGGCAATCCTTGAAACAGTAAACTGTTTACTTAAACTGTTTAAACTGTTTCCTTACTTAAAACATAGATAGATAGATAGATAGATAGATAGATAGATATAGATAAATAGATGGGTGGATGGATGGACAGATGATGGAGAGATGATAGATAGATAGATAGATAGATAGATAGATGATAGATAGACAGACAGAGAGACAGATAGGCATTCATTACACTTAGAGTTAAATCTCACTCCTTCCCATGACCCAGCTGATCTCGCCATTGCCTACCTGTTGGATCTACCCCACCTCCCCCTTCCATCCTCTGCTGTAAAATGTCCAGCACGTGCTAACTCGCGGATCGCGTGCTGTCCTGCCCTCCTAGAGAGCTCCTCTACCGATTTCTTATTTTCTGAAGTATTGATTTCTTTCCATTCAAGTCTCAGCTCAAGTATGACCTCTGCAGACAGACCTTTCCTGACCCCCTTGTTTAAAAGAGCCCTCTCCTCCAGTCCTAATGGACCACGTCCCACGGTGGCATTGACTCTTTCGTTGCCTTCCCTCTATCTGGATGCAAGCTCGGCGCCAGCTGACGTCTTACGTGTCTTGTCGACTTGCATCCGCTGTACTAGAAACACACACAGTGCTCAGGACGTGCTCTGGATGAATGCATTTTTCATAAACTAGCATTCGTGTGGTTAGAACGCACTAATTCCAGGCGAACTTACAAGGCTTCCCGAAGAGGAAAGAATGAGCTTATTTGGTACGGAGTCTTACCAGACTCAGTAACCCAGGCCCACAATTAAGACCCATTTCTCCCAAGTCTGGCTCCTGGTTTTGCTTTGTTTTGTTTTTCCTCTGCTCTTAAAATCTCAAATCATTTCGGAGTTTCAGGCTTTCCATGGAGATTTGATGCAAATCATCAGAGAATCAGGTGTTTTTTTCCCATGCCTTATGGAATCTTGGTCATAACAAATCACATGTTTCAAGGAAGCTCCTTTAGGAGGCTAGGGCAGACCGTCGTCACCAGAACGAGCGTTGAGGGTCTGGCGGCCTTGAAGCTGAGTTCGGGGCCCCTGACTTGTCACATGAGCTCC